GAGAGGGGGAGGATAGGTAGATGAGAAAGAAAGGGACGAAAGCTTTAAACGGAAAAAGTAAGGAGGTGTGTGGTGGTGTTTGAGGGGTGGAGGGGTTGCCAATGACTCCATGACTCAGAACCCATTTCTCGCCCCATTCATCATTTGTAATTACTGAGCCCTACCTCGAACAAAATATTCTCAGCAATATCTTCGCTTAGGTCTCCCTCAAAGCAGTGTTGTCTGTCTCCTCCAATTTCACCTCCAGCCGACGACCTCCTTTCTCCTGTATCTAGGGAGAAATAAAATCGCTAACATTTAGAATTTCTAAAAGGCACTTAAGTAAAACAACGCATCTTGAGATACAATACTGTAAATTGTGTCTCAAGAGATTTATCATATGACAGATTAGAGGTGTTACAAGAGGGTAACAAACACAAAAAAGAAGGAGGGGAGATAAAGATGAAAGATGTTTGATAGGAAATAAGGAGCAAACCACACCAGAGCACCCGCCAACCACCCACAAAATAGGTGTGAAGGCACAAAGTGTGTAGATCCGGGAACAGTTTTAGGAACACTAAAGGACAAAATAGCATTATTATTAGCAAGACACGGTTGGGCAGTAAATTCGTTATTCGGTTCTCCTGAAAAGTCATATTTTTATAGATACGACAGTTTGCTTGCCTCACACATTATAATATTTCAAAGGGAAACGTCGCCGCGGGGGGCTTATTCCCCAGTCATTTGTTCATAAAAATCCGTCTCCATACGAATAAAAGCATAAAATCAAGATAATTCTAGATATACGTGCGCGATTCACGAAATAGAAAGACGAGACTGGACAAGGATATGACGGAAAACTTTATACAAATATACAAAACAGAAACAGAAAAGGGTCATTCTGTCACCGTCCTATAACTTCTTCTTTCCTGGCAAATGACAAGACATAAAGGTTTGTTCAGTGGACGGACGCGCTTCGCTTCTGTCCATCTCCATTTCATGACAGTTGGAATTCTATCACCACCCGACACCCCAAATACAAAAATGTAAGGAATGAAACTTTTCTCAAGTGTCTGCAATACGTCAGGCGAACGGCTGTCAGGGGGGG